TTATTTTTCTCTAAAATCAGGTAGCCTTTCCCTCAAAAGTCACATAAATGTGCTCTAAAGTTAACTGAATTGTGGAATTCGAATACAAGTTTATTGTTTAATTTAAATTATAAATTTACTAATGGGAGCCTCGCTTTTAGCCCTGGCTAAATCTATATATTATTCATGACTATGACACTAGGTCTAAGGATAGGTTATCTATCAGCGTTGTTAATTACACCGCTACTAAAAATATTCCTGGACTTCTACTTTTCCTTGACTTTGAGAAAGCGTTTGACAGACTGGAAAGGTCTTTTATACAGAAAGCACTTATTTCTTTCGGATTTGGCCCTTCCATTGTCCAATGGTTTAAAAGCTTTTATAACAACACTGAAAGCTGTATTATGAACAACGGCTGGGCAAGCAACTTCTTTTCGGTCCACAGGGGTGTCCGCCAAGGCTGTCCTCTCTCTCCTTACCTTTTTATTCTTTCAGCCGAAATTGTGGCCAAAGCAATCCGAAAAAATGCAGACATAAAAGGTTTATTAGTTAAGGATACTGAGATTAAATTAAGTCAATATGCTGACGACACAACTTTAATTCTTGACGGTTCAGAAAAGTCCCTCTCTGAAGCCCTAAGGTTTTTAGAAAGCTTCGAGAAAGTTTCAGGTCTCAGACTAAACAGTAAAAAGACTGAGGCTCTTTGGATAGGCTCTTGTGCTGGCAAAAGTGAAAAACTGCACCCAGAAAAAGATTTCAACTGGCAAAACACAAAGGTTTAAGTGCTCGGAGTTTGGCTATCAACTGATCCTGAAACTACAATCAAACTTAACTTCGTCGAGAAAATAGAAAAAATGCGGAACTGCTTTGGCTGCTGGTCAGTTCGAAGACTAAGCCTTATCGGGAAAATAACAGTTCTTAAGAGTCTGGTTGCCTCCCAAGTAATTCATCTTTTGTCGCCTCTTCAAACCAATGCTCAAATTATAAAACAATTAAATGATCTCTTTTTTGACTTCCTTTGGAACAGTAAAGGCGATAAAATCAAGAGAAACGTTATCACACAAAATTATGGCAACGGAGGTCTTAGAATGATCGACATTTCTTCTTTTAATAAAGCCCTCAAGTCCGTGTGGATAAGAAAGTACCTGGACGAAAGTAACAAGGGGAAATGGAAACTTTTTTTTGACGCTGAGCTCGAAAAACTTGGAGGCCAAACTGTTTTTAGGGGCAACCTTGAAATAAAAGACTCGAAGAAGCTTGCTAACAATCTTAGTCCCTTTCTGAAAGAGATTCTCGAGATATGGTCTGAATTAAACTATCAAGGTTTAATAGAAGCGGTAGAGTCCTTCCTCACACAAAGCCTGTGGTATAATTCTTTGATTAGATTTATGGACAAACCGGTCTACTATAAAAGTTGGTATCAAATGGGCATTTCTCAGGTGAATCAAATCGTTAAGGAACAACCAAGTACTTTCTTGTCACCAACAGAATTTGAAACAAAGTATCATACAAAGGTTTGCCCTTTGACATTCTATGGAATGACATCTACCCTCCGAGAGCTCTGGAAAAATAAAAAACTGCCAAGTGTACCACTAAACTGTAAAGAAAAAGAGTCTTTCACATCCGCCTTTTTAAAATCGAAAAAGCCCAGCAGACTAGCTTATCAAAAACTGGTGGAATTAAAATGTAACTATAAAATTTCTAGTCAGGAGAAATGGAGCAAAGTTTTCCCAGAGGCTCGTGATTTAAACTGGCATAACGCATATATGACCGCTTTTAAATGTACCAAAAGCACCAAACTGACTGAATTTCAATTTAGATTCCTTCATCAAACTTTGGCAACAAACGTATCTTTAGTCAAAATGGGATACAAAGATGATATTAGGTGTTCATTTTGCCATGAAGAAGCTGAAAACTTCACGCATCTTTTCTGGTTCCGCAGCAAAATAGAACTTTTCTGGAAACACCTTATTGCCTTTCTAAAGGATCGTAAACTTTTACCCAACGACTTTCTCCTTAACAGTCTTGTCGTCTTGGGTCTGATGCCTGATACTTCTAAAAACAAAGCCGCAATTAACTTCGTTCTGTTACTTGCGAGATTTTACATTTGGCTTTGCAGAAGTAAAGGAAATATTCCAACTATTGAAAATTTTAAGCCTTTTTTTAAACAATATAATAAAGAAATTGAACCTTTCCCTGTTTAGTAACCTTTTACCAGTTTGGGGTCTCTCGCTCTTTTTACACTTTCCTTCCTACTAGACATTCCCTTCCTATTTTCCTCGCTTCAACTTTCAAAGTATATAAAGCTAATTTCCGTGAAACAGCAGAGAAAATATCTTTAATCTCTTTTTTCTCCTTTGAGTTAGAACTACAGTTAACTAAAATTTGCCATACTTCCCCGCCCCCCCCCCCTTTTCTTTTTTTCTGTTTTTGTAGCGTATGTAATCCGTAATGTAAGTAGTGCAAGTAGCTGTTTTATATATGTAAAGCGTGGAGTATAGCACTTTTAGTAGTGTAAGCATCTCATTGTAAGTAAGTATTGCAAGTTTTGTATTGTAAGTAGAGTATAGTATTGTTAGTAGCGTAAGTATCTCACAATGTAAATAAGTTTTTTTTTTGTAAGTAGAGTATAGTTCTGTTAGTAGCGTAAGTATCATACATTGTTTGTAAGTAAGTATTGTAAGTAAGTACCTTGTAATTGAAAATAAAAATTAAAAAAAAAAAAAGGTTATCTATTGATAAAGTCAATCTCGAGTTGACTAAGAGGGCCTTTTTTTATAAGAGGGCTACCCTTTTTAATGATTGTATGTAGTTTTGTTCATAAGGAGGCTATCTTTTTTTATTGATTATAATTATGTAATGTATCCCAGTTTGGCATATAGTTAAGTTTTTATCTATTTATTCATTTATTTTTATACAGGACCCACATTGATAGCAGTTTTTATAACTGAAATGGTCATCCTGTTTAAACATGCTATTATTATTATTATTATTATTATTATTATTATTATTATTATTATTATTATCATTATTATTATATGGTTGAACGGTTCGCTTTCTTTGGCTGCGGTGTAGATATAAAAACGAGAGACTATCAGGCAAGGATTAAACGTATGGAAGGATCGATTCTCGGGGAGATATCCGTAAATCTTATCGTTATTGGTCAAGGACACTCAGGGCGAGTTATTATCGTTCCACCAAGAGGTAAAAATGTTCCAGAAGGATCGGACATGCTGGCATTCTACAAACAGATGCTCTACGGTCTGCTTCAACTCACATACATGACAGGAGCCACTGTCAGTAATTTTAGCCGTGAAAAATTTGTCGCGAGTAGTACAGGATGTGATGGTTCTTTTAAACTGAAACATAAAAAGCTTTATGTTTTTTTGTGAGCTTCTGATGGAAGAACGTATAACGCCGCAATTGTCAATCTGTGAAGCCAGTCTCTACAAGACGAAACTTCTGATATAGGTTTTTGGAAAGATCTCGATACATAAAACGCGCCCCAAACGCAAACTTGGAAGACAATACCGTTTAGCCTTTTAGACAGTGTGGGTGACCCGTTATTGTTTAAAGGGACAGGTTCACGGTTCAGCGCATGCTTGTTAATCAAAATGCTGTTTTTCTGCCGGGACCGTATGATGCTGTATCGTCTATGAAAACACATGATCAATCGACATGTCATGATGTTGTCAAAGAGCAAATCTGCACTCTCCTGGCAGTCACTTGATCACCTTAGGTGCAAATAGCTGTCAATTAATCAACCATGGAATAAAATTTTCGGGTACACACGTGTTGCCATAATCCACTAATTTTTCTGCGATTTTAGCACTCCTCCATCCCACTTCAGGTTACTCTGAAATACACTTCTACTTTGAAATACACTCTGAGATCGCTGAGATACATGTGAGTGGGATTCTTAACCGACAGAATTAATAATAATTAATAAATTGGAAAAAAAGTAATTTAATCAATGAGCATGCGCTGAACCGTAAACCTGTCCCTTAAATCCAATACAATAAACTTCCGCTCATTAGCCCTGGACTTATACAACTACGTAAGGGGTTTTAGGAGGGGCTTATTATAACCGGAATAAAAAGAAGCGTTTCAAAACAAGCTACATCGTATAATATCAAAATACTTTTTGAGTTAACTCGCATGTTTAAGATTCAAAAGCACGTAAATTAAATCGAAATCATTTTAATACTAGCCTGCCAGAACAGCCGTTTCTCGTCGCTACTCGCCGCTTGGGAAGTTTCGCGAGGAGGTACGTCTGCGACTCAGCAACAGATATTCCATACTGATGACGTAAATCAATGTTTACGTAATAAATCGGTAGCCATGGGGTTCCAAATGCAAACATGTTCAATTTCACGTTTCTCCTGGCCCGTTAAAGTTTCTCAGAAGGTCGCGAGCGAGAGAAAAGAGAAACCATGTCATTTCCATAGTCTGTTCTGTTATCGACCATAGTCTTCGTCCAATCAGCGCGCGAGAAATCACTCAGTTATTGTATGTTTTGGAACAAGTTTTTCAGACTTGGAAGTCTATCAATAATGGTGAAGTGGTTAAAAAGAATGAGGCTATACTAAACCAGCCAACACTCTTTCCTTTTCGGTATTTCGTAACTCACTTTCAATGCACTTTACTAATTTTGTATTTGAAATGCTTGTTGACCGAATTAATGTGAACAACCTTGTTAAGGGAGACAAAATAACCAAGGAACAGACTATTGTAAAGAGCGCAGAGAGTTATTTTGAAAGGCATTTTTTTAACCAAGAGTTTTATTATCAAGGGTAAGACAGCTTAACCATACGGGATGAGCAGATCATTCGTTATGAAGCTCGGCCTTTTACATTTGAATTTATAGAGTCTTTTATAGAAGTTTTGTTCTATTACATTATTTTATCAACTAATCATATGTAATCTTTTTTAAATCTTGTAAACAACACACAACAACAAAAACACAGAGGCTTTAATAGAAATAGGACAGTTTATTACTTAAGAAAACAAGAGAAAAAAAATGGACACTATATTTCTTTGAACCCTTATTGCGGTTTTTTCCTCATTCCATCATTCCTGTGGCAGGGGGGACTGGACTCGACATGCTATTGTCACTTGTCCCGTGAACCATCTGGCCAGCGGTAGCATGTCCTAAAGGAGGATTACTCGGAGTTCCTGGGGCAGACGCTGGTGATGCAGCATTGGAGCCCATAAAGGAGACTGGAGTGCTACAGCCGGAAGTGGGATGGGAGCCCACCGGGGGAACTGAACCGGGGTTCACTGGCGGGGCTGGGGAAGCGGAAGCAGACGGCGGATTGGATCCCACGGGCTGACCGCTTGCTGTCACTGCAGAAATTAAATGAAGGTTTTAAGTACTAAATTTCAAGCAGGTAATATGGACACAATTTCGTCTCTCCCACGAAACGTCTCTCGTGGCGATTAGCGAGGAGAGAGCGCTGTATTCGCAAGCTAAAAATCCAGTAAAACAATGAACAGACAGAATACATCACGGGTATGATTTTTCTATCCATTTCATTGAAAATAAGTTTGGATCTAGCGTTCGCACATGTCAGTATTGTATTTCTCGTATATATAAAATGTCTTATTTGCAATGGTCGCATATAACGCTTCAACGGCAAGTCTAGCAGATAGGTCGAGTGTCACATTAAACGTTTTCTCTCGTAACGTGAGTGACTTAAGAAAAAATGTTGGGTGAGGATAGGCTCCTGGTTAAGAAAGAATAGGTGGACAGTTACTCGGAATCTTTACCTTGCGGAGAAGGACTTGGCGCCTGAGGTACGTTGTGACCGGCTACTACCGTCTGGGAACCCTGTGGTTGAGCTTGCTGGGCAGGCCTGTGTTGTTGTGGTTGGCGTTGTGGAAACTGAGGCTGTGGTTGGGATACCTGTGGCTGTGGTTGAAGATGACCTGGGGAGGAAGCCGAAGGGGACAAGTGACCAGCTGCTGCGCGTACGCGCATCTCAGCCGCTTTAAGCTGTTCTTGATGAAACTGCTGGCGTTCGGCAAGAAGCTGCTGTCGCTGGTATTCCAACTGAGAAAAACAAAAGTTAAGAAGGAAAATTGGTTTATAATGAAGGTCCCCAACAAGCTTTTCGGGATCCGGGATTTCCTTTATTTGAGGCTCGGGATCCGAGATTTCCCTTATTTGAGGCTCGGGATCCAAGAATTCCCTTATTTGAGGCTCGGGATCGATTTGCCATATTTGAGGCTTGGGATCCGAGATCTTTCTTATTTGAGGATCGGGATCCGAGATTTCTCTTATTTGAAGCTCGGGATCCGAGATTTCCCTTATTTGAGGCTTGGGACCCGAGATTTCCCTTATTTGAGGCTCGGAATCCGCGATTTGCCTTATTTGAGGCTTGGGATCCGAGATCTCTCTTATTTGAGGCTCGGATCCAAGAATTCCCTTATTTGAGGCTCAGAATCCGAGATTTCCCTTATTTCAGGCTCGGGATCCGAGCTTTCTCTCATTTGAGGTTCGGGATCGGGTATTTCCCTTATTTGAGGCTCAGGATTTGGTATTTTGCAGCAAAATCGGGGCGAGGTTCGGGATTGAAAATATGCGCGGGGGTGGGATGCCACACATAGCCAAGAGATTGAACGAAATTTTGGGTCGGGATTACGGGATTGAAAAATTCCTATATGGGACCCTTTAAAATGTTTCTTTCATTTCAGAAAACATTTCAGAAAATACTGTACAACGTGACTCTATGACAAAAAAAAAAAAGAAAAGAAAAGAAAAGAAAAGAAAATCGATATGTTCCCCATTTGACTCTTTCGCCAACGTTTAAAACTTTCCGACACCTCGTGAGGGATGTTACCAACGAAATTGCCTTCTTGTAAAGGACAATTTGAGAGTGTACATTTGCATTTTAGGGATTTCTCATACATATTGTTCAACCCTTCATTATAAGTTAGAATCTGATTTACATCACGTGAAGGAAACTTGCCTTGCGTGTAACTGAAGTTTCATCGTCTCACCATAATCATAAACTCACATCTTGAGCCATGCTGCTCTTGTTGGGCTCTTGACTAGTTTATAGGCACTATACAATGGGCCCATTACACCATATTACAAAGCCGTCCGCATGAATTCATGAGCCTCACCTCCTTCTCTTACCACAAGTGTTTCTCTGCACATTGACTGATCACAGACTTTAACCGCAAAGGGGCATGGAACTCGAGTTCTTTTCCTTGATCGAAAAGGAAGGAAATAAACAGTATATTGTACTCACCGCTTCGCGTTCACGGTCCATGATCGTCTCAAGTTCTTCAAAGTGGCGAAGTTTAATCTCAAGTTTCTTCATCTGAGTCTCCACAAGTAGAGCAACAAGACTCTTGATTTTCCGTTCTTCAACTTGAGCCAAATGCTTCAAGAAAAAAAGAAAACCGCATTCTTGGCTCAATAAAGCAAAGCGAACAGGAGCATCAGAAGTCAAATTTCGAGTTACAGCAGGGTATCGAAGGTCTGTCTAGCGTAATAAGCTTATTGCCAGAAAAGCTCAAAGACTCTTTTGATCTAATAAGACCATTGCACGATGACGATATTTGACTACAACTACCAGAATTCATTTCGGTTTTGCTTTGTTATTTAAATTTGTCAATCCCGCTGAGGATTAAAGAACAATAGCCTTAATTTGCACAAGAAAACAACAAACTCATGGATTCTGGTAGTTGTAGTAAAATGACGTCATCGTGCAATTGTCCTAGGTCAATACCTCTTGCCACTGGATGCAACCACTAATAAAATAACTGGTGTTCATGCCAGTAACGCTCTTCATCTTAAAGACACACTCAATCAGGTCTGATGTGAAATTCAGAGCAACTGGCCCTTGTCAATGAAGGGAAGGATCTTGAATATTCGCATTCGTGAGAAGATTCAATAATCTTTATTCATATATGAACAAACGTCCGCCGACAGTTTTAACTGCCTCCATTCAGTACAACACATAAATTTTGGTGTAGCAATACGCTGCAAAAATCGCTCTAATCCCCAATTTTGCACTGCATAGCCATTGTCCCGACAAGGGGAATTAAGTTACGGGAGGAAGCCGCGACTACCAGGACAATAGGCATGTCGAACAATGAGAGTATGCGACGTCAACCGCCACCACGAGAGGTGAGAGGGGCGAAACTTCTAAGTCACTTCCACTGAACTCCGTTGAACTGGCCAAAAGGGGGGCAAACACCAAGCAATTCTAAAAAAAGGCCGCAATGCATCATGCCACTAGCGCGCTAGCCCAACACGACGGAATTTGAAGGAGTTACTTACCGCCCGCGTCACGGACTAATTATGTATGCAGCGAGAATAGTTACCTTGGCTTTAACAGCAGCGGCCGCCAGAGCAGATGCGGCCGCTTTAGCGATGTTCTCTTCCTTAATAGTTTGGGTTTTCTCTCCATTTTCTGGTTGGCTACTCTTCTCTGATGCATCTTCCATCTAAACATAATGAGTAAACAAAGAGATGATTGCGTCAATTCTTTATTTGTTTGTAGCAAAACATGGTTCAAACTTGAGTCCATTGCTTGACTAAACAATTAGCATCGAAAAGCTTTAAACAAATACATGCGTTGTCCTGGATTCTTAAAATTACTAGACAAACACTTTTACATTAATTCAATAAACCCTAATATCAAAACTTGAATTCTCATTTGCTGTCCCTATTCGTTTCCTATGAAAGAAGTGAGGAGAAGTTGCTCAAGTGTCAATTAGATTTCTCTTCTGTGATCATGTCCTCAGTTCTCATCACCAATATGTTCGGTATAGGAATATTATTACACACTTACCCCTCCCCTAAGCCAACATTAACACTTACTTCTCATTTAGGGGCAAAATGTTGGCTTAGGGGAGGGGTGGGTGGGCAGTTTCCCAAAGACGTATAATGATCCTGATATTGATACAAGGGGAAAATTTGATACTGACACTCCTGGACACTGGATTCCAGGTACTGGATTCCGGATTCTTTGTCAGTGGAACTTGGATTACGGATTGTGGATTACGGATTCCGATCGTTCGTGGGATTGCTTGAGCTGTATTCCGGATTCCAAAGGCCACGATTCCACGATTTTACAGCAAATCTTTGCTGGATTCCGGAATCCAAATTCCATTACATGGGGCGAATACCTTGTCATCAATCAAAATCAACTCACTAACCTTAACATCTTGTGTTCCACTCTCTGATCCTTCAGATGCGGTCGGTTGACTGCCATTAACCTCCATAGGCTGCGGTGTTTCGTCTGAACGTGACAAAAAAAAGAAAAAAAAACATACCGTGGATTTGTGTCCATAAATTAGAGTAAATAAGCACACTTCTGGGTTGTACTAAGCAAGGGACAAGCTTCTTTGAAAAACGATACAACTAGACAATTGGAAAAAGAAAAGCAAGGTTTACACTCGACAGCAGAACTTGCTCGGGGTCGATTATACGGAGATTCAATTGATACCGACCGTGGCTGCATTACAATCGATCACCATAGTAATTTAGGAGCGGCGGAGCGGGAAACGGAAGAAGAGCCTGCAACTACGTCTGTGGAATTTGAATATCTGCATCGAAAAAGTTGATGCGAAATGCTGATTGGCGGAGATCACATTAATAATGACATAATTACTCTTGGCACGTGTTTTTCAATGTTTGTTTACATTCGCGCTCGTCGACGAGGAGCCAGAGGGAATTTGGAGGTGGAATTCAAATTCCAGAGAAGTAGTTGCAAGGTCTCCTTCCTTTTCACGACCCGTCGCTAGAGCGCCCCAAAGAGCTTGCTCACAGACTAACTTTTGATTAACAAACTTGAAAGCCGCTTGCTTATTTCATTCGCATTCGTTTTTTACTCTACCTTTACTTTCCTCCGAGTTTTCCTTTTTTGCCTTCTCTGCCCGTGCCTTGGCAGCATTCTTTACATGACTGTCGATCACTGACTGGGGGATCTCGTCCTTCATCTCAGAGAACTTCTCTGTTTATAACAGGGAGACTAACATTAAATTCCACGCCAGTTGAAATTTTAAATGGTCAGTTGTTGTCAAGGTAACAACAGAGGAGGCAGCGACCCCCCTCGGCAGCACGGAGGTTTCTATGGCAACCTCGCCACAGTCCACCTCCGGGCTCTCACCGTTACTCTTTCAGACATTAGGGACCTAAAGCAGCGACGACGGCGACGTCAACGAGAGCGGCAAAAAAGCAATAGGTTTAGATTAGCAAAACAACAACTTTGCACGTGCATCACGCTTTTTTGTACATTTCTTTGCCGTCCTTGCACGACCCTCTTTTTCCTTTCGTGAACTTTGACATAGTCCTTTAGAATTCAACTCCGGAAAAACTGGCCAACATTTGATGAATAGAACGAGATAGAATAAGTGTTCGAAAGACCATTCCAGTTTGTATTTCCTTACCTAAGGCTGCCTTGGCAGCCGCACTTGCCACCCTTGGATCCACAACTGAAGCAAGAAACGCCACTGTTGACATAATGGGGTTTCCCTGTTGACTGAATGGCACTGGTTGGTGTGATAAAGGACCTGAAGAGCAGTAACAACGGATTTTAAACAATTGGATTCTCTACAAATGAAAGAGACAGTTCTAGCTAGGTTTTACATTGAAAAGCTGCCCCGCTCTGTATATTGTCAGTCAATTGTATCCTTGGTCTTTGTGTAGCTGTTTGAAATATACCGATTCATATTAAAGATTTTCACACATATTACATTCAAGAGGTGAGATATTACAAAGCAGGAAATGCAAGATTCACTGCACTGATTCCGGTCAATTACGCAGCTTTGATCAGAACACTCTCAGCGTTTTGAGAATTATGGAAGGTCATTTATGAACAAGAAATACATCAGTACAGAATTTAACTGTGGTCGTATTTCTATAATCGTCGACATTGCAGAGTTTACATTTTCGCGGTGGCAGGTGCCGTGCGAAAAAGACTACAACCCAGTTTACCATTACTGCGAAAATGTAGCCTCTACTCGAAGAGTATAGTGATTTTCCATCGTTCCCTGATAACCTAGCTTGCTTCACTCGTTCGCTTAGGAAAACTTGTTTGCTTCTGGACTGAGTCGCACATTCACAGCCCCAAAGCCGAACTTGTGTCTGAAAAATCTGAATCGTTCCCAATCAAAGGGGTTTTGAATGAAAAACTCGTGTCGGGCTTACAATCATTCCTTTCGGAACACAATTTCGGTCAAACACAAGATTTTCCCTTTCGTGGTCAGTGAGTTTTTGAGGCTTGTTTAAGACAGTGAAATGAGAAAAAAAAAAAAAAAATGAAAATTTCAGTTTTGCTCTAATACTTTCAAAACAGTTGCTCCACTGAATGTCACTGAACAAACACGTCAGTAACGCGAAAGAATATCGAAGTAGGACTGTAAAACTAATATCACAAATTCAACCCAAGCTGTCCTTTCGGGCCTCAAACAGCCTTAAAACGGACTTCACACAGCCCAACTTGAAACGAACCTTTCTGGGTTCTCAATAGAAGGCGGCACCCGGCGATTGATCGCCGCTTACTTTGGGATTTATAGCCGCTTACTTTGTGTTTAAGTCGCTTTTCTTTGCTTTGTTTTGACACCTCTGGCTTTGCTGAAGAGCCTCCTACTTTATCAGTGATCACCTCCTACTTAAAAATCTATTGAGAACCCTGACCTTTAAGAGGGAATAATTAGTAAATAGACGACAATTTTCCAAGGTATTCTCACTGACCAAAGCTCTATACTGACAAACAACGAGAGAAGAAAATCGCTAAGATGTTGTTAAATTTGTATTGGACTCAATCCCGGGGGGGGGTACTCCCCTATAAAAGTGACGGGGGTGCTCGTCGAACCTATTAGGGGTTTAAATTTGGGGATTGGTACCGCTTAGGGTGCTAAAACCTAAAATGTCTGATCAGGATAAAGATTTATGACAATACTTTCAAAAAGTCCTTGAGAAGAAATTGTTCAAAAGTTATCTTTATTACCATTAAAATTTGCAGTGCCAGTTATATAATTTGTTGTTGAATTGGTACCTCTTAAAGGTGCAAATGAGTTTGGGACACGCCAATAAAAAAAAAAAAGATTCTGGTACCTTTTAGGGATGTTCTCGAAATTTTCCGACGAGCACCATCATCACTTCTATAGGGGAGTACCCCCCCCCCCCCCGCGGGACTCACTCCACTCACCCAGCTGTATATCTTCAAGGAATGGATCTTCAATTGGAAGTCGAAGAAAATGCAGAATACATTCATCTTGAGTCCGCGTCCCCACATGTTCTGCCACTTTGTTCCAGTCATCTTTGTACATTTCTAAACCCTGAATTCAACGATGAAAAAATGGAAAGTAACTAGTTTTAAGTGTTACAATTAAGAAATGCAAAACGTACAGCATGGATGCATGCGGGAAGTTGCTAAGCGGGAAGAGGCGTCAAGGGTTGCTGGAGGTGTTGTGCGCGCTAGTTTTCTTCAGCATTCACCCACATGAGAAATGTGACGTCATGTTACCATGGTAGCAAAATTTCTTGATGACAACAATGAGGGAGCTGAAGGAAGGACAACATCGACGGCAAAGAGAACGGCAAAAATAGTAATAGGTTTATTTTAGCAAAACAATCACTTTGCACGTGCATCACGCATTTTTGTACATTTTCTTAGCCGTAGCTGATTGCCAAGTAGACTGTTCACAGTCCCTTATTTTTTCGTGAGATCGGTTGGATATACTGCGTCTTACTGTCACGGCTACCGTGATTTTCAAATGTACCGAGGGTTAGGGTTCCTCTATTTTTCCGCCCCCGCCCCCGTCCCCTAGGTAGTTTTGACACTCATGCAAGATGGGTAGCCCGTAACGCAAAGCTCTCGATCTCGATGATCTTACGGAAAAATAGAGGACTGCGAACAGTCTAACTGCGAAGTGAAACTTTCTAAATTCATGTCTTTTTATTTTTTCTAAACTTAGATACGGTCCATTCGGATTCAACCCAGAAAATTTCGTCATCATTTGACAAATTAAATGAAATTGAATAAGATCGATGAATTTTGAAACAGTGCAAATTCACTTTTTCAGTGAATTTTTGCCACCACGGCAAAGGGGCCGTAACGACTTGTTTCTATTGACCAATCAGGGCGCCGCACGCTTTTATTTGTTATATCATGACAAAACACCCTTAAGGACATCGGCGAGTCTACCGGCTTTTGTTTGTCTGTTAGTTTTCATATTTTCCTTGTTTTGAGTACCTTATATTAAGTTATTTATTTCGCGTACCTCTAACAACAGCAGTGTCTCTTGCTCTGTCCATTCCTTTGTAGCCGTTGCTGCCTGAAAAAAGACATCAAAAAAACATTTATTTAAAAGTAAGGTACATACAATTCAGTTGAACGAAAAAAATTAATAATGACGTGGAGGTTTAGAAGAATCTCACAGAAACGCATATGCCAAAGCTCCCGGTTATTCTCAGGTCATGTAAAAACAAAGAAACAAACAAACAATACAAAAAAAAAATAAAGAAACGAAAAACAACAACTGTTTCCCGTCTCCAGTCGCTTCATTTTTTGGGGGCCGCCTCCCTTTCTTATATCAATAGGCTATTATACAGTTATGGATGGAAGCGAGGCGCTTTGTTATGGAAATCGTTCTTGAAAAATCCTAGTTAGCATAAGAATAACTTGATTTACATAATAAAGATCAAATCAAGGTCAACCTCAGCGTCGCTTCCATTCATAACTGAAAAAATGGTCTATTGTTATTAGAAACGTTGGAGCGAAAAAAAAAAAAACCAACCGTCGTTACTTACGACATGAGGCAGCGTGGCTGAGTGGTCAGCGCGTCGGACTCACAATCCGGCGGTCCCGGGTTCAAATCCTTGGGCACGCTTGTAAATAGCCAACTGGCTGCCTTCTGTCAGTTGGGGTTTTTAATCCAGTTATGTTGTATTTGAATTATTTGTTTCTAAGTATTTGAGTGGAGTGCTGTAAGTTAGCTGGATAAGCTACATTTAAGTGCACTTTCCACTATATAAAAAGTAATAAATAAATAAATAAATAAATAATAATAATAATAAAAAACCTTCGCCCGCTCTCTCTCTTTTTTTATGGAAATCCGGACAAGAAACATTTGTAATTTATTTACTTAGCCCAATCACCAAGCGATGGATAAGTTACGTTTTAAGGAAAGGAATTGCTTCACTCACTGGATAGAGATTTATCTAGTGGACGGCACAATCTACATTCCGAACAACTGGGGCAAACGTTTTCAGTGTTAAAGATTTATGTACTTGCCTTCTGGCTCTTTTTTGATAAATATTGGTCTGAGCGAAGTCTGAAAGAAGAACAAAGAGAAAACCACAATGAGTTCTTTACTCGTACAAAATTATGCCCGGTGTACTTGTTCAGCAGCATACGCTCTCATACATGCTGTGGTTTCATTAAATCCTTCCATGGTTCATTCACTATGATTCTTTTTTAAAACTTTGCATCAAAAAAAAGAGGACATATTGTAAAATCGAACCACAACATACATAGAGGATATTACACAGTGGCGCGAAGATATGAATTTTATTTTCGAGTGGCAAAACAACATTTTACGAACGAGCGCAGCGAGTGAGTAAAATATTGTTTTTGCCATGAGAAAATAAAATTCATATCTTCAAGCCGCCGTGTAATGTTCTTTTTATTATAAAGACAAAAAGACATCGATAAAATAATAGATTTTTATTCGCCAAAAAGTAACTGTGACGAGTCATATTTACAGTACAGCAACATAAGACATTGTTTACAATAATCTTGAGAAATAACACTGAGCAGAATAGGGCTCTACAATGACAAAATATAAGCAAAGCTTTGAAAAATGTGTAATTACAATTCAAAGGACGCAAGACGCCTACAGATTTTGGAGGGAAATTACGTCATCGATAAACTCACGTGTGAGATTATGGAAAATAAACCACTCGGGTCCCGGATGTAGTTTTTATGAATTTTAAGAGTGGTATATTTTCCAGTCAAACACTCGTGTCTATATAATAAATCGCATTAGCGCGATTTTCGTATGACCTTGAAAAATGGTTTCGGAAAGTGTTCGTTATTTGTTTTATCAGCCAGTGGATGGAAAGATCAAAACATGGACTCTTCGTTTTCCCGCCAAAGAAAACCCTAATATGGAGAAGGCATTGTTCGATTGGCTAAACGTGTTGCAGTATGACGTCAAACCGAAGTGTCGATTGATTTCTAGAAAGTTCTCGAACGTGAAGTCTTTTCACCCGAGCGTTCGCTTAACCAACCAAAAGCCACGCACGTTTGTATCCGTTCGACAAACCAATCAAATCGCTCTATTTCCGTTCGTTTGTTGTTGCTGTGTTGTTCGCGAGTTTCCATTTCAAGGTCATACGAAGATCGCTCTATCTAACACAAACAACAACACAACAACAACGACAACAACAACAACAACAACAACAAAACTACAGCCACCGAAAACGGTTTAACATTTAATTCAAGATTAAAATACTACGAATACTACCTGGGCCCGTTTGCATAAAACCTGCACTTAAGTGCTCACTTAAGAAGGTCACTTACAAATCCGTTATGGGTATACTTACGGGTGTTGCATGGAACGCACTTAGCACTCTCGTAAGTTTCTGTTTTACGTGGTAACTCACGGGCTCACTTAAAGGAACACGTAACCTTGATATAGTACTTTATTAATGATTCACTCTTTTTTTGGTAAGCTGGCTATCGGTGAGTGTAAAGAAAGTTAAAAGTCGTTTCGAACACTTTTAAGCCTCTCAAAACATGAAATTTGCATGCAAACGTTATTTTTCTTCAATATCTACTGAAAATGATAGTTCTTCTTCTTTTTTTCACAAAAGTGTACATCAGAGGTTAACAAAGCGCATTAGAACGAATTACGTGAAGAAAAATACTTTTTTTCACTTCTCGGTAAAAGATCTCGTTAAACAGTAACGATACGGGACCTACATAGGTCCCGTAAATTTACGTGCTATTTTGCCCGTAAAAGAAGTTTTATGCAACACCCGCAATTTCTGTTGCATAAACGACACGTAAGTGAGCACTTACGAAAATTGTAAGTGCAATCACTTAAGTGAATTCCCTAAGTGGACCACTTAAGTGGTTTCATACAACTGACTTAAGTTACCAGTGCACGTACGTGTACCCGTAGTTGTTACGGACGTTTTATGCAACCGGGCCCTGGGGTCCCCCACCTCCATATAAACTGGCCCTTAATCATTTAAGTGGATTTTTTTGGTATTTCTTGCCTACATGTACATATTAACAGAGAAATCTCTTACCCAAAGTTTCCACTAGTTATCCCACTCTTCTGCGTTTCTTTTCCACCAAAGTCGTCTTTAAACTGAATCATTTGTTGCGACGCTGGAATCTGAAAGAATCATAATTAAGATCTGGAGATGCAGTTGTTCGAGGTTTTTCAACCAAAAACCCGCCTGTATCTCTCTTGCATACGTTTTATTCGCGTTTCGCACGAGTTACAAACTGCACATCTGCTTCACACTTAGTTGGTTTGTTAACACGCCTGATTTTTCAATTGGCAGATATTACAGACAATATTAATTAACCATTTTTTGTGGCCTTTTTTGTGGAAATTCTTCACGTGACCTTGAGCTGCAAGGAATCAACAGTTAATATTTTACTGAAAGCTCCACTGAGGTCAATCGAAGAACAAGAAGTATACGCGGTACCTGTGTTTTCGCGGGCTGAAGCGGCTGAAGACCTGCAGGAGTATCTGCTAGCACGTGAAAATGTGATGTTGAAGGTGGTCCCATGGGAGCAGGCCGGCCGTCAGAATCAACTTGATAGTTTATCAGACCCCACTGTTCTAGGAAGGCGTGCACCCTAAAATATTTTAGGAACAACAAAATACAAGTAAGTAAAGTACTAACCTGTTACGCGCAAGGCATTCTTGCCAGACTGGGTGAGTTAGTTATTAATCGATTAATTTCAATCAATGCGTGAGATTAAGTTTCCCTGTGCATTCGAGCCGAATGTTCAAGAATAATTAGTTGCGTGTTGTGTCGTCATCCCACATATTTTCAGGTCTTTGCAAAAATACCTTTTTAAAGGAACGTGAAGTTTGGCGTAAAGTTGTTTCAAGCACAATTATTGCCAAGCTTGTCCCACAAGGTTTGCCGTCTTCTTTCCTCCCCAGTCCTGTTGCGTAAGTTCACTAATAATTAAAACGAGCAAGAAGAAGCCCCGGGCAAGCATTACGTAAGAGCTGCTTGCCCAAGGGACAAGCTGAATGAAACTCGAGTTTTCTTTTTTCGAGCCCCGAAAAAAAGTTGGGAAGAGTAGAAAGTATGATAAGTAAGGCACAAACAAAGCCCGTTTTCTAGCACTTTGACAAGTACAATTTGTTTATGAATGACACAACACGCCCTTGCGAGTACACACATGACTACAGTATTGGTTGGATGTAAATCTAATGTACCTGACAATAGCACACACATCTCCAGCCAAGTTTCTTCTGGAGGCTGTAGCTGTCAGGTATTCGGTGGGGTTCAGCCGGTATGCATCAATCATGAAGTTCCGACTAGCAAGGTACCTTGAAAAACAAAACAGTTACGACCATAACAGAATTCAGTTTTGTGTAGGGTTTGAATAACTGTATCACTAAAAATTAAAAATACCTATAAAATTGGAGGAAAATAAAATAATAAATAAAATATCCAAGATTTAATGAATCGTGTATTAAGAGAGTAACACATACTAGAAGGCAGCTTTTAGTAAAGATGAAATTGGACTTTGAATTCTCGGCCTTTCTGATGTTTGGATGTATCTATGTTATACAAAACAACCTTGAGTTGAATATCATTACCTTACATAACTATGCTATAGTTTTTCCTATCGAGCTGCATCTGGGTTATTATCATTCATTATTTTTTTCCTGCAGGTACTTACACTTCAGGAGACTTGGACTTATTTTTGCCATTAAAAAATTCGGGCAAAGCTCTTCGTTCAATGGCATGGACACTAAAACAAACCAGAAAAAAAATAATATTATACAATCGAAGGCATTAAAAGGACATCATCATCATCATTATTTGTTTAGTCAATTATTTTAAAAGGGGGCTCAACTACACGGTTTTAATAGGATTTTAAGTTGGTGTCAAAAGCTTTCGAGTAGGTGGTAGAGCAAAAAACACTCGCGTCAAAGGCGCAACTTGCGAGCGCAAGTTTCTGGAAAAAACAAATTGAAATCTGGGCCTCTTAGGATGTATTTCCGGCATTCTGGAGCAAAAATTAAAGTGTGTGAACACAGAACACAGACATCATTAACTCTGACTTTTTTATTCGGTTACAGCACATGGATATTCTATTTAAACTGGGGTAATTTCTAAAGAAAAGTACGCTGCGAGTTCACGTGAAATAGCCGGCGAATTGCGCCGGCTACCAACTCTTATTGAAACCCTGACTGTTTACGATGAAGGTCGTACTCTAAACAAGCATCCCTACAGTTAAAACTATTCGCAAACCTGTTGTAGTCAAACCAAGAGGCGTAACTAGGGATGATAATGTGATGCGTCTGTTCTGTCAGATTCTCGTCATGAGGTTCAGTGTCTGGCACGTTAAGAGGTTCTTTAAACAGTCCCTCCTTATTCTGGTTGGATGAAGGCGAACCTGGCGCAGATTGCTCGGTGCTCTCCTCTTGTTGTTCCTGGAAAAGAATAAGGACAGTAGTGAGGAGTTGTCTACACGATTTTTGCGGATGAGCTAATAAACCGAAGAAGCACAGAGGTGTTTTTCCATTACTACTTTCTCAAGAAGAGAGTTTAGGAGACTATGTTGCCTGCGTAGCAAGCGTTTCCGTGCGGTTTAGGAGCAAAGCCGCGGAACGAGGAACGGGATTCTCGGGTTTGGTTCCATTTTCCGCGCGGCTTAAATCAAAATCTCGTTCCTTCTTTGCTCCGAAACCACGCGGAAACGCTTGCTAAGCAGGTTAGAGACTATGACAGGTTAGAAACTCTAAAGTTTTTTGTAGATGTCTAAAGAAAAAAATATATAAGGCAGAAAGGAAAAAAAGGAAAAAGGGTTGGACTAATGACATGTTATGTTCTATCACAGCACCTGAGTATCCATGTGACTGCTTGTGTCACCCTCCTCACCCTCACCACTTTCTGGTTTCCCTAGAGAATGACCAAAACAAATCAAGAAGTTATTTTTAACGTCCCGAAATACCCAATATCATATTAAAGGTTCGCATCCGAATCCACTATGTTTTCATCTAAGCCGGGACATTTTTTGTAGCGAGAGATCCCCCGGAACAATTCAGGTTTCTGAGAAACTGCCCACCTACCCCTCCCCTAAGTCAACATTAACACTTACTTCTCACTCCGGGCAAAATGTTGGCTTAGGGGAGGGGTAGGTGGGCAGTTTGTCAGAAAACTGAATTGATCCGATTGACTCATGTATGGTAACCGAAGACAATCGCGGATTCCGGATTCCTTATTAGCGGAATTACGTAAATTCCGGAATCTGGATTACTTGGGCTGAATCCCGGATTCCAAAGCGCAGAATTTGGGATTCCGCAAACAAAAGTTTCAGGGATTGCGGAACGCAGTTTATCTTAAACGGGGCGAGAGAGAAACGACGAAAACGAGAGAATCTCTGAATAATTTCTCAACTAACTCGGACGGTGACTATGCAGAGAAATAAGGCTCAACACTGTAGGTAAAGTTTACCTGAATCTGAAATGTCGGTTAGAGTGGTTCCTTTCATTGGCTGTAGATCACTTTCCTTTCCTTTAGAGGCTGAAAACATAAAATTGACAGATAAGGTCCTTGGAATTGTTTCGGATGCACCCTGCATAACTAAGACCGATCTGATTTATGGAGAACTTGAAGCTACATGGAGAAGACGAAAGCAGGGCTTGAAAAAATGGCCAGTCGATGGCAATTGCTGGTTTAAAATAGCTTTCTGCGATCAAATCCTTGAATCACTGGACATTTTGTTTAGCCTTTTACGCTTCAAATTAATTAATTAATTCAGAAGATCAGATTTTAACTAAGGTTGGAAATCACTAAAAGTTCTTGGCGAAAAAAAACTGATTTTAGCAGTCGAACTACCATGGCTTATTTGAATACCGCAGTATTGAATATCGTTTTCTAGGCAAAATGAGTATATCGAAGTTGCAAATATGTTTGTTCCATGACAGGATATAATTTGTCCAACTAAGGAATCACAAAATTTCGTTCAGTCAAAACAAATAATACATTATTTTATGTGGTCGGACTAAATCGCGGACACATAATGAGTAGTAGCCGCAACAATCGCAGGTAGACTATGCTCATTTTACTGGCTGTTATTTATAAGATTCTTCCAGATTGCATTGATAGAACAGAAAAAACCATGAACGGTCGGTAGGGGTCTCACCTGTAGTACCAGCAGTTACCTCTTCAACCTGCAAAGACACGCCATATAGGTTTATGGTATTAACTCAGTAGCAGACCACAGTTAAATGAAGGAAAATTCAAGGCCCAAGGGCGGCAATCCAATATCCTGAAGCAAAGCCATTACAGCAGTCTATACCCTAAGATTTCCCTAGGCTATTCAGGGCCACCCAACGTCAATTTTCGGAAAATATCTGTTCGGAAGACGATTTGAAATCTAGAGTTTTCGGAACATTTGTTGTAAAACTTCTTGCTTGCCTGCCTCTCCAAGGATTTTCGAACATCGAAAAAATGGTATAATTGTCCATTTTTAACGGATTTTTACCTCTAAAAAGGTCACCTAGAATTTTCGGGAGCCCTCTTTCTGGCTGAAATTTTCGAAAAGGTAAGTTTTGATCCCTATAATTTTCGGATCACTAGACTTTCAGCTAGGAAATCCGAACAGATGAAAATTTTTAGGGAATGAAAATATGCCTATATCTACTGTTTAAATACTAAAATACGTTTAACAATGCTGTGTTTAAGTGGTTTTGAACTATATTCTCGTTGGGTGCCCCTGGCTATTAGGGACCTTAAGCAAAGACGACGACGACGGCGGTGAAAACGTCGCTAAAAAAATGAATTTGCGTTCTTTCAAACTTAATCGCGTCTGTTTGGTCCCGTTCAATATGTCAAATGCAGGGGACTATTCCTGGAGTTGAATTCTTAAGGATTTTATTCAAGTTCAAAAAGAGGAAGGAAAATTCGTCGTCGTATGTCCACGTCCTCCATAAAACGTCAAATTAGGAGGTCTCACGTCGTAGTCGTGCACTGGACGTCAAAGAAATGTACTAAAAAGCGTGATGCACGTGCAGAGCTGTTGTTTTGATCATTAAATCTATTGTTTTTTCGTCCTCTTCGTCATCGTAGTTGCTTAAGCTTCCTAATTATCCCACATAGTGTACATAGAACAATACAGTCCATATCCCTGGTGCTCTACAACCCATTTTATGACCTGGGTTCACTGCAGTCCATACCACACGATTCTTGGAAATTTAAAATTACACTAACTTGACGGTGATGAAGGCATTTAAGTATTTATTTAAACCAATTTATGTTTTTTGCTTACATTAGGGACAGGAGATGGATCAGGAAGATCTTTGGTAGCATCATCACTAGAATGAAAGGAAGAAATTTTACACAGCAGTTACATGAACAGTCACACACTAGAAGTTTGTTGGGAGGTTGCGTTACGTGACGAGAAAAACAAAATGGCTGCAAGGGAGACCAGTAACACACATACAAACATAATAAGAAACAAAAACAAAACTGATAAGTACACTGTAACAGTTTACAGAGCTCAAGGAAAAAGTATTTTATTATTATCCTCAGTTTGTACCTGTCATTTTCATCTTCTTTACCAGTCTTCTTCTTAGGATTGGCTGGTGCTGCTGCCCTGTTTAGTCAAACAAAAAAAAGATCAGGTTTTAATTACTTTTAAGTTATGTTATTATGTAGACTTAGGAACGAACTGTGGTGTTGCCATGAAGGTAGGGAAGTAAATGACAGCAACAACATAATTACATACACAGTGAGTGTATGCATTCATAAAAGTTTACTTAGTATACTTATTAATTATTTTATCTACTTATTATTCGTGAGAAGGTACAAAATGTGGCATGGATGACTATTGAGTGCGTCAAGCTTGCGAACTGGAGATCTACAAACTTGTCACATTTGTTGAAGCACTTAACACATTACAGAGGTGTAGCCAGCTTTTCAACTAGTTGTAGGCCTGGCTGACTTTAATGTTCTTACATCCTGAAAATTGCATGCATAACTACAGCTGTAGTTGGCCAAACCATTTGCTACAAATAAACGTGATTCTTAACACTTTGGAAGGAGGGAAGAAGTAAGCATAGGGAAAAGTTAGCACGACTGTCGCTAACATTTCAAGTTGCTGGGTATATGGGAGTAGTACATGTAGGGGAGGAATTGTACAGCAAGGTTCCAAGTACTTTTCGTTCTATTTTCCTTTTGTTTCATAGTAGCCGAGGAAAATCCCTGGCCCCCAGCTCTTAGTAACAGCTCTGAGCAAGTTAATTGGGTTGAAAAGTCATTACATGCATTTACTCTCTACTGCAGGGCTCGAAAAAAAGTCCCGTCTAGTCATCCAGGACAAGCAGATTTTCTTTGGGGCAAGTAACTTTTAAATTCACTTGCCCAATGGGCAAGGTCTAAGCAAGCCATCTTCTAACTAAATCATTAACTAAGACAGCAAGAAGTGGCCCCAGGGAAGCAAAATGTGAGAGCTGCTTGCCCAAAGGAGAAGTTGAAATTCAAGTTTTTTCGAGCCCTGTTACTGACTACTAATCAGTTGAATGACAGATTATTGGTCTATTCTACAATACTTACGGTTTCTTTTTCTTCTTCTGATCAGGGGAGGGAGAGCGCTTTCGTTTCTTTAGCTTCCCTGCAGAAATAAACAAAACCACATGTCACAGCCACTACATAGTATAAATATCTGAACATGCATGTTGATTTGCTAAACTTAATTATTGTACAACAAATGGAATATTACATTACACAAGCTAACCAGTCAAAATTCCTTTTTTTTTTCAACAAAGAACACAGACTTGACACTGATACACATAAAAGCACATGACGTGAAGTGCCAAAACAACTTGGTCAAATTGATTGTTTGTTCTTTCCCTTGCTTTGATGAGTTCCTCTTCAGCTTAAACAGTAGCAATTCCAGTTTTATCTGAAGGATAATGCTAGATGGAGCACCACTTCAGAGTACACTGTAAGTGGAAGTGTAAACACCAAGGCGGCGATTCTTGATGAACTAAACTACAGAGCCAAACAAGACTAAACCTTTTTAAACCCGTTAATAAAACCTGGGTCATGCTCCATTGTAGTAGCGGGGGAAAATCACAGCCCAGTTAAGGAAAACTTGTTTATTTACTAAAATAATAATTTATGATGCATTAATGTAATGATATTTTATTACCTCCATCAGGGCTACTGGGTTGTTCATCCGAACTTGCCCCTGATTTGAGACTTTTCCTTCTTGTTTTTCCTAAATAACAAGATACAGTGTATTGGCAAAAATAATGTGAGATCTGAATGCAAGTTCAGTTAGAGCAACAAAGATTTACAACTGAAAAAGGTACATGTAATGGTTGGCAGCAGTAATACAGGGCTCGTTGTTGCAACTTACCTAAAGCTGTTTCTCCTCTGTTTCCCTGAAAGAAATAAAACATAGCAAATGTGAAATTGCTGTAGCTTGGCATTTTCCCTTTCAGTTGTACAGTTTTGTATTCTGTGTCTTGTTTGTTGTTCAAGGTACTCACACCAAACACTTACAACAATGACTTAGTTAAATCTGTGTATAGTAACCATGTATTGATAAAAAGGTCAAACCTAGCAATTAGCTGTCAAACTACATTGTTCGCAGCACACTTTGGAAACAACCAGACGTTTTCCTTATGATGAGAAATATGCCAGATTTTAAAATTAATATTCACTATTTGGACTCTTAATTTTCCAAATTATCATTCATAATAATAATAATAATAATACCAACAACAACAACAATAATAATACCATAATAATAATGACAACAACAACTATTTATCCCAGTCTTCGAACAGGATTTTCTTTTTAAACTAGATAAAAGTGAATATAAGTGTAATATTGACCACTTACACTGCCATCAGCGTCTGCTAGTTCATAGTCTTCTTCATTCATCCACTCATTAAACACATCAAGGTCTGTAAGCCATCGTGCATTTACCTGGATTGAAAAGTCACCCCCCAAAAGTTTCAGTTTAAATAACACTCGGAATTTGCGAGAAGAGAAGACAAGTTGTAAATAATGTCAAAACAATCAATTGCCCACCATCAGCTAATTACTTGCCAACTATATAAAACTACCCCATGGATATTTTTCGTCACATTAGAACAATACTAAAGGGTGCACATGGGAGGGCTTTTATTACCTGCCAGGGTCCTGGATGCTGGGGCTCAGGTTGAGGTTCATCTTCAATATCACCGGATGGCACCCAAGTATCATAACTACAGTTTACAAAGATAATCATAGTAATCAATCCACACTGAATATTTAATTATTGTCAATTAAAGGACTGTTAGTAAAAATTAAATGTTTTTCAAGCTTCTTGTCTCTGTCTTCCTCCTAAGGATTTCACACCAGTCTGCAGGAATGATATTTACAATCAACAGGCTCCATGCAGAACGTAATATTATTATTCCCTGGCCCAAAGAATAATCATTTCCTTTTTGGAGAGGATGAGCCCTTCATTATGTTCAGCAGCTAATTTGCCACATAATTATTTGCAAAATGATAATCATGTTAATGAATGCCTAATGCAATGTTGACTACGAAAGATTGATCTGATGCACCCCCGCTCTTTAATCTCCCCATCAACACCCCCCCCACCCCCAAAAAAAAAAAAATTCATAAAAGAAATTATTATTCATTCAAAATATTTCCCCGATTCTGATTGGCTAAAAGCAAACGCATAATTCTCCATAACCAGTTACTGATGATCAAATTTGGAAGAATTTTGTATTTAAAGAGGAAATGACATCAAAAATGAAGCGTTTTTGCAGGTTAATGCACCATTAACCGAGAAGACCTCGGGACCAGGTTGAGTTGTTTTGGTTAAGAAAACAAAAAAATGTCGAACATTTCACTCATGTCAAGAGTAAGAACTGGGCGAAATTATAGCTAAAAACATGGCAAGAACAGCAAGAACACAACTCAAAGGGCAACATCTGCTATTTGGAGAATATTTGTGAAGCTGAACAACCATAAACATGCACTATCGAAGGTAAACTTAACATCAATGGAGGTAAGCATGTTTTAGCTTTATTTTTAAACTAGGAATTATTTTGAATGAATAATAAAACAATTATTGAATTCGGCTTTCGTATCATAATTATGAAGAATTATGGAAATCTTGGAGAGTGTTGTCTGCCTCAGCCTACGGCCTTGATGGATAACACCCTCCTCGATCTGCATAATTCTTCATAAGATACTCAGCCTCAATCATAAGTCTAGAATAATACTATTAAAACACACTATCATGTACAAATTGGGCATTGCAGGGTGCAAAGACAGTCAGTTTAGAGCTTCCCATTCAGGCAAGCTGTACCTAGCATCATGTACTAGCCCAAAAGTCATTTCAATTAGCCCCCCTCCCAAAAAAAAAAAAGAAAATTGACGAGTAGGATTGATTGCAATTCTTCTGTAATTGAATTCCCCCCCAAAAAAATACTTTGCCCATCAGGCAAGTTAAGAACAGAATTCAGTGGCCTGACGGCAAAATCCACTAGCCCCAGGGTATCGGACACCACTTTCTTTACATGCTGGCATTGCAACTTGACTTAACAGTTAAACACACACCTGTCAGGGTAGTACCACCAGTGTACAAGGACTTGCTTGTCTTGCCTTAACAAGGGTCTAAGCCACTCCTCTGAGCAAAAAAAAAAAAAAGGCCAAAAGTCTGTTTCAGTAAATGTGCATGTACATCTGCACCTTGTTATTGTTGTGTATTATTATTATGAAGGTACACTGTAGCTACTAATTGACCTTGGAAAATATAACTTTTTCTAACCACTTTTTCCTGGTACCACGAAAAAGTAATGTCATAAAATTTCAAGGGAAGCCACCACAACCACTCCTGAGAGTTAAATCTCAGGTTTTCATTTCCCAAAATAAAGCAACCCATCCCTAGAAGACCTATGAAATACCTCACTCGCTACAATATATTTTTTTCATTGTTTGTTTGAAATAAATTATTAACCACATGTGCTGAATCCTGTGCTGAAGCTATGAAAGGCATCTTTTGATTTCAACCCAAACTGCTGTAGCGAATCATTACTGTACTTTAAATTTGTAATGTGATCAAATACATGTACATGGTAAACAAACAGTTACCTTCTGGAAAGGGTGGGGGAGGTCCATGAACAATGTGAGTTGCACTAGATTTATCATCTGTAATGGTCCCCTAATAGGTTGGGAAAAATCAATATTTAATTATAATATAGTGTAACTACAAGGGAAATTTTAACATGATTAAACCACAATAAAGAATACATTATAGAGGACGAGATTGAAAGTACCAGTTAATAATAAGGGAAAATCGGCACATTATTTTATAATACTTATGCCAATATAAATTAATATTCTGTTGATCGATGGGGGCAAAAAAATGTCTTGCCCCAGATGTTCAAGGGGTAGACAACCACACCAGATAAAAATTAATAATCACAAGCCACTGAGTAAGACATTATTTTTGTTTCCTTGACTCTTATCTCCTGGAGAGTGATTTACCTGGTGGATAGGACAATCCCGCTATTGAATGACTAGAGCATAAGGTTTACAGTGTAATTTTCTGAATTCCAATCTTACTGAAAATCAACTATGGACAATTAAGACAGTCATAACTAAGTACTACATTATATGTGAGTACTACAATCAAATGAACTAATAGAGAATGACATTGCAACCACTTTAATAATGTAAAGACAGGGATGTAGGAATTCAGCATCAATTTTAGCATCTTTGGCAAAACGTTAGTACAGCTGGATTTTACAAAATGAAATTTGAATATTTTTTTACTTCTTTCATGCTCAACATCAAGAGTTAAAGTGTTAAGTATACGTACAAGAAGCAGTTCCAAAAAAAGTAAGTAATGCAAATAAGCTGGGACCTTACATTGTGTCTTTTGACAATGTCCTTTAGCCTGGATGCAAGTCTCAGATCAAGATCAGGTGTTATGAAGACTTGTGGGACGGTCAATAACTTTGCCTACAAAAATAAGCACAGCATCAATAACATATGATTACAAAGATTACAAAGGACAAGTAACAGCAAAATATATAGTAAAATGACCATCTATCTAAAAAAGTATCTCAAGTATAACTTCAGTTGAGTTTGTTAAATACATGTATTTTCCCTTGCCTAACGGCTAGGCAATTGAAAATATTACGATTTGGACAAAATGTGCATGAAATCATTACTTAATTTTACTCGTCAACATTTGATTACCCATATTAATAATTTATTATATGACATTTTTGATGCTCAAATTGTACACTAAAAATCTGTATAATACCCACAGACTCAACATACACTGTACCTCTTTGAGTGCTTTTTCCATATTTAAGAACAGCTCGACATTTCTGTCCATGCGTGAGGGAGACTGGAAGTCAAACCTTCTCCTGCATATAAACCAAAGCCAGATTTATGATAACTTATTTTATGCCTACAATGGTATGTGTGCTCTGATTGGCTGCTAAGTGGACATTATTTTCTTGTAATGACCGGGCATTACTAGCTAGATGTCCAAGGCATAATTTTTACATAATTTTATACAATCTGTGTTTAACTTGATAGTGGATATCCTTATGGACATCCATGGATGTGATAGCCAATTGACAGCTGTTACATCACTGTATCGCAGGCTCAAGTGTACAACTCATTGAGTTGACTAATGTTTTTTAGGTTATCCATTGACCAGCGGGACTTTTTACATGTAACCTAATCCGTTCTGTCACTACAGGGAAATCTCAGTCCTCAGGCTTGATGTATTGACCTAGCTAGGCCTCGGTCTGAGATTTCCCTGTAATGACCTCACTCTTGGTGAATAAATGGTAATTATATCATTATACATTGTAAATTACTAAAAACAGTTTACATGTAATGGACTAATCAATAATAAAAAATTAATTGGTTGACACAGTCAAGCCACTCTACTTACCATCCTTGTTCCAGTTTGGTTTTAAACACATTAGCAAGAATGACACAAAGGCTCCCTCCAGAAGAGTAATCCATAAACAACTTCATCTATAAATAAAGATATTTATTTTCTTTACTTTCCATGTACAGGCACTGTAATTATTAATTAATAGTTATGTTCAAGAACCCTGTGTGCTAAGAAAAATCAAAGGGAACTTAGCACTCCTAACCTGTGGAATCCTGTAGGATGCCCAGCATGGAATTTGTTGTTGTTGTTGTTGTTAATGTTTGTTTGTTTTGCCTGTTAGTTAGCTAGTTTTTCTAGAGTTTCCTACCGCTAGCTGTCCAAGAGAAAACTAAAGCACCATGCATTTCTGTTTCAGACTCATGAAAGTATATGTTGTGGTTCAATTTCATCCTTAGTTTAAATTTTATTTCCCTTTGTTTTTGGGTATGGTAATGTATGATAATAAGTTTGAGATAAAGAAAAATAAAATTTAAACCAAGGATAAAACTGAACCACAACATATAATTATAAAATTATACTAATTGATATACACTATACAAGTATGAAATTACAGCAAGGAGCCCAAAAGTGACCTCCGTTAATAAACTCACATTCTTTCACGCAGACATTAAACAATCAGAAGTCGAGAACAGTTTCCAGCTGGCTTCTGATTGGATTAAATCTGTACGAAAAATGTAAATAAATCAAAAGTGGTCACAATTTTGAGCTCTTTGCTGTAATAGATCCACAGACTGTAGGAAATATGAAAAAACCTATAGCATCCACTGTACTTTATACAAACATCAAGCCTTGTTTTAATAATAATAGTAAAAAAATGCTATGATATGAACTTACAGGAAGTTTTGTCAGAAGAGCTTGCTTGCTAGCATCTTTACCAAAGTTATCCTAATAACAAAATTAGATAGAATTTAGATTACAATAACTCTTCTGCAATTTGAATACCTCTTAAATCTTATTTCCAAAAACACTGACATAAAAAAAAGTCATTTGGTTTAGAACTACAATAGTTTGAACAACAACAACAAAAATCAACTACACATACATTAAAAAAAAAAACTAAAAATAAATTTGACCTGTAACATACACTATAGCAAACTTTGTTTTATACATGTAACTGAAGCTGTATCTGGGTTCCACTGTACATTTGATATGTACATGTAGTTCTGTAACAGGAGCAGGTACAGTGTTGTAACATGAGTACATTGTAGAAGGCAGAACAAATACACTTTGCAGTCTGAATTGTCCATTTTCCACATATTTACATGTACAGCAACATCCCCACCCATACAAACATCCTATGGATTTTATATATGATTATCTCAACAAGTGAGATATGCTAGGATTTGTACCTCAGAGATGGACTTTGTTAATAAACTCCACTGACTTCCTTTGCATTGAAAACAACAAGGCTTTAAATACACTCTTTCCTCAAATCCTTTAACAAATTCTTCAAGAACCATGGGGTTATCATCGATTTAAGTATCAGACTACACTGCTGGAGTATCGGAATAAAATAGATCGGAATAAAAATGGAACGTCCCTATACCAAAAGATTTTTTTCAGCTTATACATGTACATGACATTTAATTTAAATTATATCCTCAACTGTGGACATTCATCCGACACGTTAAACTCTAACTTTAGCAGCTTTACATTATAAAGACCTTTAGTACATGTTATCGTTCCAATCAATTAGAATTATTACAAACCGGCCTCTGTATAACTACAGCTGTAAAATATCATACATGTAGGTTATTTATGAAATCTTACCTCTTGAAATTGTAATAACTGCGCCGTAAGTGTGGCCAACGTTTTGTTTGTCGGTGGTTCCATCTGCACATACTAATTCAAGGATAAAACAGCAATCAAAGCACTTCAAGAAAGTGGGAATATAATATTGAAAACAATCGCTTTGTCAAATTCAAAACCATGTGATCGTATTCATCGAACAGGTTTATAAGACAATCCGTTTAGTGATGGTCATGCAAAACTACATAATGATTACCTTTTTACAATTCTTGAGAAGGTAGTTTTTAACTGGCTCAAAAAGAGCGACAGTGTCAGGAGATTCGTAGTATTTCCAGTCAGGAGCACCAACCTTTTTTCTTACCGCCATCTTGGATTTTTTTTCTCTGAAGGCTTGCATTCGGAAGCTACGTCACTTATGGGTAACCTAGTGTCTCGGTCACATTTATTGCATAACTGCTAAAAGTCCGGACTAGAAATTTTAAACGGGTTAAGTTTTTCCAAAGTTTTCAGCTGAGACTTTAGTTTAAGCCTCTGAAACTTATTTGTTGAAAAAACCTTGACAAAGTTTTATTTCAAAAGTAAAAGTCCTCTTAGCATAAACGAGGTAACTTCCCTTGGAGGTAGACTGGAACTAGAAGGAGGGTCACGTGATTTCGTTATCGAAAAAGGGCGCGCTTTGACAACCGAGGTTATGAATGTTGGTTTGGAACTTTCGACATGAATATTCGAGAAGAATTTCTGAAATCCGTCGAGGAGGAATCCCCAGAAACCTTTCTCCGATTTATGGAACAACATGTAAGCAATGTATTCATGAGGTCTTTAATGAAAAAACGTACACTACTACATATGTTAATTTGTTCGTGGTATCCGGACAACTCGCATGTCTGTGCATTCATGATATGAAATGTGCATTTCATGAACTCCTGATCATTTATGTTTAGTTTTAATTGCAATACCTATACAAGCTGAAGCGTGATCAAACTGAAGCCACCATTGTTTTAATTTATGATTCGTTAAGGTAGCCATTGGAGAAATTCATAGATTCAGATTTTAGATTGATCATCAATTAAGCTGCAAAGATGCTTAGCTGCACAAAGAATTAAATTATGCGTGGCAAAAATGCTACATACGTTGTTATGGTGGTGGTGGGTGGGGGTGCCGGGGGGAGGGTCCATAGATTTAACCCTTACCATACAAATGGTATGTCCTTCCTGGCCCTATCTCCTAAGAAATTCTTAGTTTGCAACCACGTGAGAAGGTGGCCATGTGCGAGGTCAGTACAAAAGAAATTTACATGGAAATAGAGCTTAGTTCCCACAGGAGAGAAATGCTTTTGTTCTTGACCACCAACATGGCCGGCGTGACGTCACATGCAAACCATCAATACAAAAATGTCTGATAAAGATTTTTTAAAATTAATTTGTATGTGTAATCAAATGGTGAGGAGTGAAATTAGGGAATAATCTCACATGCGATTTGTCCAAATCCTTATAATTTCCCGAGCGGACAAAATGCAAGTGAAATTATTCCCTAATTTCACGAGTATACCATTTGATTACCTATTAATATCATGGGTGACGAATTACGTTAGCAATCTTGGATTTTTGACATTTTTATCCTGGATTGTATCAATTGACAACTCTACTCTCTCTAATGTTTAGAGCTTAAATTTGGCTCAAGTTCTGAATTTTTCTACAAAATACCTGTTAGAATCTTTCTTGATGTGCTCTTTCATGTGTTTTCTATTTAAAGCGTGTTTTTATGCGCTGGCCTCTTCACTCATGACATTTTAAAACTTCGTCACCATCTTCACACTGAGAAATTACAAATTATCACTGAAATTTTGCGTGAAAATTAAGGAGTAATTCGTCACCTATGATATTAATTAAGTAATCATTTTTTTTAAATTAATTTTTGCAACCTAAAGAATTCAAGAAATGAGTCATTTGATGTTGAGGAGTTGCTACAGACTTTGCCGAAGAAGGAGCATGAGAGATTGTGGGCCGGACTCCGAGATATGACACACAGAGTGATATTAACAAGTCCACTCTCATCCCAGGAAAATGCTGACTTTGAAAGTGATGAGGAAGGATCAGTAAGTGAAAACTCAACATGCATCTATGATACAAGTAATACCAACTAACACTGTACCAAGTATTATAAAAGTGAACATTATCTTTGCCTAAGAGCTTGAGAAAAAATCTGAGGCTTGACTGGGAATTGATACCCTGACATTTTTGATGACTAATAATCAAGCCAACTGGACAGCAAGCCATTGTGAGTTTGCAGGTTCTTCCTAATCCTCTTAAATTTCTTATTCCAATGCAAAGATCATGACTTTTATGTCGCAGTTCAAAATGTGTTCTGTTTCATGTGTTGTATTTCAATTCCCACTGAAGATTTTTGCCGGCAACTTTGACCAAACAGACAAAAAAGAAGGTACAAACCACAAACAGACAAAAACGGTACGAACTTCCTAGCTGTGAACCATCCCCCTACCTAGATGCATCCATGGCAACTTGAAATCTTAGTAACAAGCCTGTATAAAAGTTGCAAACAAATGCCAATAATTATTATTAAAGCTTGTAAACCTGAAAGAA